CATCTGTAGAACTGATCTTCAAATATAATCATCAGTGAGAGCATTAATTAGAAATATAAATTTTCAAGACGTCGAATTCTTAAGCAACTAATTTATAGGTCGCAGTGGAATGGACGCCAAGATCAAAATTGAGATGGAAGCTGAGGAGCACATCCCCCCACAGAAGGCGCTCGATCTTCTCCTGGAACTCAGATTGGTCCACAAGAACAAGAACTTCAAAATCCTGGATGAGACGGTGGCCCCACCAGCTAAAGCCTACCGTTTTTGAGTGACCAACCAAGGTCGGTTTGATTGACTGTGGTTGGCTTCAACTGACATAAGAATTGGCGCTGACTTCCAAAACAAAATACATCCTAGTGAGCTGAGATTAAATTTGTAATGTTTCATTCAACAAAATATTGTATGATCAAATTTTGAATAAATTAAAAAAAAAAAGCTCAAAAAGTCTCACAAATAATTTTTGTTTAATCCGTAGCTTGATTGATATTAATATGTTATTCAAATGATATTTATTATTTTTTATTTTTGACTTCAATTATTTAAAAATGTTTAACATTTTTGCATTTATACAAGTTGCGTGAAATCAATTATAAGGCTTATTTTAAGCATTTTAAAACAAAAGAAGCATAACAAAAAAATGATAAAAAAATATATTGTGAAAACAAATCATGAATGCCCTTTCGGAGAATAGATTGTTTTTCATTGGTTTTTAGCTAATAAGAATGTTGGTAATCCCTACTTTTTCATTATTTTTCAGTTGTATTGTCACATTTTTGGTCTAAAAATTTTCAATGCCACTTTTAATAAAATAAGCAGATTAAAAAAAAATATCTATAGCCGCTAAACAAGTCATACTGAACTGATCGTTTGCTCCGCTTATGTGCTTGTGTTTTTGAATATTTAATAGCCAGTGGAACTCACTTGTAGCTGGCTTTCATCATTTTCTGCCTATATTTTGTGAAAATTTAATTTTTTTCTAAGTTCGAAATGATTTCTGACAATATAAAATAATATTAAATGCATAAAAATGTGAATAAAATTGCTCATGAAAAATTATTTTTAAACATTAGTTCCTTTAGTCAACAGTTCTGTACATAAAGTTCTTTTCCATTATTCAAGCCAAATGTTATAGCTCTTTCGAATGCTTTTAAAGAGCCATACAATCTGAAAAATATCTGTTTTTCTGATGGTCTGCAAAAATCGAGCCGTTTTCTCTTTCGTCAAGTGCTAAAGCGCGCACTTGATCCAGAACTGTGGCTTTCTTCTCTCTCAACCCCGATGTGGCTCTTGCTCAATCTCAATTACTCGAGTGATTCCATTTGCCGCAAAAGTGATTTAAGTCTGGTGGAGAACAAAAAAGATAGCGCGTCTCAGTTTTGTGTTTGTGTGCTTTTGCTTTCGCGCAGCGACTGCTACTTTTTTTTATCTGCGGCTAGTGCGTCTGCCGGCTCTTTAATACTACAGAAATACTTTCTCGGCTCGCCATCCATCCCAGAGAAGAGCTTGGAAAAGAAAAGATGGTTTATCCGCTGAGCAGCAAACTTCCTTCCTCTCATCCCGCTTTGCTTTTTTTTAGACGGCGGCTAAAGCAACACTCGCTGATAAAGTTTGCAGCGCGGGCTGCATAACCAGCAGGCATGCACTTTTAAATTGAATCTGCTGCAACACACAAAATGCATGCTAATGCCGTTAGTGCGGTTGCCTGCTTGTTTCGCGTCACTTTTGCAGTACAGAAGAGCCCCGCCATGCTAAAGTTTGCGCACCCGCGAGAGATCGAGAGACGCGACACGACAACATGCTGCGCTAATAGTCTCGGAAAACACGTGCTGCACCCTCTTCTGAAGGCTAAATGGTAAAATTTTGTTAATTTATTGCAACACGAGGGAGGAAATTCCGGTTGTAGCTACTGAAAATTAATTAATTTTTAAAAATAAAATATGAAAATGATATTGCAAAGGCGCAACAGAAGATTTCATGGATTTGTTTCAAATTCTAATGCTAGACCATGCTATTAATAACTTGTTCGCTATATAAAAATTGGACTATTGACGCGAATCCTTGAGCTGGTTTATCATAAACAGGGAATGGAACATAGAGAAATGACAAGCAACACTCCAAATAAATATAAATACAAATGAAATTTGTAATCGGATTTTTTTTTTGCAATTTGAGAGATTTAAAAATAATAATGATAAGATTTTCACACACTGAATTTTATTATAGCGTGAAAAATAAGATTTTTTTTTTCAATTCAGTATCTAACATTTAAATATTGACATATTGTTTGTCATGAAGAAAATTGTGGAAAAATGATTTTTTTTTTAATTTGACTAAAAATAATTAGTAGGAGTTATTACTTGTCAAAATGAATATATATTATACATTTATTGTCATGAAGTAACAAACTATTTTAATAAAAAATTAAACTTTCCAGACACGGTGGTTGTATTTTTACGTCTGAACCGCAGTCCCGTCGCCTGCTGGCCCTTTGCGAGCCAAAAATGATCTTTGCGGTGCAAACAAGTTGAGGCTGGGATCAGCTTAATGAAGTTGGCAGCCAGATTGCGCGCCGGCACTTAGTGTTTGCGGTCGCATATATGCATGCCGAAGTAAATTCGCCTGCGGGCCCCGAGTGGGCCAAGAGATAAAAGTGCGCCCGCTTCTTATTACACACGTGTGCGCGCTTTAATAATGCACGCGCGCTCGGTATAGGACCCCTGCTTTTTCCATGTAAATAAGTTAGCACTCGTCGGGGCCGAAATAAGTAAACATGCCCTCTTTGTTTCCGACGACGACCGCCGTCGACGCAATTGCCTCATTACTCACCGTTTTTGCCCACTCTCGAGAGCGCGCGCCTTTGTCTGTTTCAATGGGGCACAAACGCGAGGCCGACCGACCGGCCAACTTTGGGCACAAAAGTAGTGTAAGAGTGCTTTTGTCGCTCTGCGCTGCCCAGAGAGAAGTTTAATCTCGGCCTACCAGCGGATTAATTATAATTATTTCCCGGCTCCGCAAAGAGCTCAGGAAATGATTCTAACAAGGCGAGAAACAAATTCTAAATCTTTGCTTTGTCCCCTCTTTTCTTTACAAATTTTGGCCTGAAAGATTATCCAAAAGGCTAATAGAGGGAAACTAAAAATTGAACAAGTAATTTATTCAAAATATTGGCTTCAGTTGGACTTTTTACTTATTGAATTGGTGGTTGCAATGTTTATCTTTCTAATAGAGAAGTAAAAAATTTATTATTGTGTACTTCATTGTTACTAATTTTAAAACAATTTTTTTAATGTAAGGAGCAGATTGTTTAAAACAGTTAAACTATCTAATAAAATTGAGTAATAAAAATCAGCAGCAAGGGAGATAAAAGGTATAGATTTTAGTTTTGACTGAATTATTATTTTGCATGAATGATTTTCATCTCATATTCCCGCGAACGGGCATCATTAATCTTTGGAACAAAGTCCGGTGCGTGCCTGTCGGCGGATGCAAACGCAGGAAATTATTCCGAGGGGCCAGACCACTGCCGTCCGTTCGCCAAGACGACGTTTTATGCCGTGACGCAGGAACGAGATAAAAATGGCCCGTCGCTGCCGGCTGCGCTGGTAAACGCAAAAATGCCTCTTTTATGAATGCGGTACACAATTGCGAAGGAGCAGCACCAGGAAAGTTGTTGTCAACGCAGCCAAGAAAAGATGACATCGAAACCGCAAAATTCTTTTTTCAAGCAACGAACGTCGCTCAGGCCCAGCGGCTAAATGTCGAGAGGCTTCCTATTTTTTTCCAGGTCCGCACCAATCGATCGGCATTTTATGCAAAATGAAAGCTAATTTAATATTTGTATTTTGCACAAGAACACAAGATGAATATTAAAAAGTCATTCGTGAAACAAAATATACCAAAATTCACTAAAATATGTGTACAATAGTTAAAAAAAAAAAAAAAAACATGCATGTATATATATAAACCAATTTTTTTTTCATTTGTGCTAAAGGACTGATGTATTTCTATTTATGCATTTTTCTTACTCATTAAAAAGGAAAAAACTGGAATTTACGTTAGCATAATTTTGAATAAAATACAAATTTGTCTACAAGGAAACGCCAGTTTTTCACTTGAAAAGTTTTGTATATTTATTATTAAACTCCTCTCTGCAGAGCAAATAGGTGCCGGATTCGGAAATCGAGAGATTGTTTGTGGAAATTTGTTTCGCCGTTCGGGGGCAAAAGCAAGGGGAAGTGTTTGCCTATGTTGGAAAATTGATTTGGCAAACAAGAACCCGGCTTGCGAGGGCAAATATTGGCTCGGTTAGCAGTGCGAATTTCACATTTTTGGCAAACTCGTTTTAGCGCCCCGGCCGGCAGGATCAACATTTTACACAATTTACGCGAAAAAAAATAGAGCTCGCACCGTTGCTTTGTCCTCTTTTTACCAGACACCTTTTGCATTTTTACGTGTTTTTCTCTCTGCAGCCCTTTTGTCCAGGACAATAACATTTTGGCCGGCGCCGCTTCACGTCTTCTTTGTTTTTTGGCGTTTATTGCGTGTATTATGTGCGGAATAATTGTGGCCGGCCACCATGCGTGTACATCTCGCCATTAATCATCGTCACCATATCACGTCATCCCTTAACATGTTCCAAAACACATCCGCGCCGCAATCTGTTTAAAAGGCAAAAAAAAAACGCAGCCCCCAGTTAACCGCCCACGCGCGTCGATTGTTATATCAGCAGGCCAAAGTTTTTGAACGATGTAGAGCCAGTCATGAGGCTGTTCTTTCAAAGTTTCGCAGCATAATGGATGCCACACCTACGTAAATCACGGTGACTCTCGTCGGCGGTGAAACTATTTCGCAAACCATTAACCCATCGTCACCAATTTCACAATTATTCAATTTAAAAATAAGCCCTCCTCAAATTCATTCCCATCAAGATTAACAAAGGTTCATTATAATGAATTAAAGATAACAATATATATTGAATTAAATAAAAATATTTTATTGAACACACAACAAAACCACACTGGTTCACAATTTTAACTAATTAATTTTAGATTTTAGCACCATGAATTATTGAAAGAAAACTATAATTATTCAGAATCGATACAAAAAAAAACTTGATATTGAATAAAGATTCAATACTAAAATTTTACAGGCTCAAACATACAAAATTACACAAAAAATTAGCAACTAATTGCTTTTTTCTTCCAAAATCAGTGATTTTAAATCACCTATTACAGCTGAAGAATCAAATATCATGTATCTATTTCGGCAATGAAACTGTTTTTACTCTACGAGGGTTTCTGGATGAGATTGAGAAAAAAATAACTTGTCGTAAAAGGTGGCTCAATATGATCAGAATGGTTCATCCAATATTATTATACGGTCGCCAGAAACACTTTTATTTTGGTAAATTTTGTTTATCATTAAATTTTTTAATGTACAGTTTTCTCTAGAAAAAAATTAATCAAAACAATCAATTATAAATTTGAATCACTCAATTCGAACAAGACACGTTAAGAATTTTTTTTTTCAAACAAAATAACGGTTCCTAATGATCATCATTATCATTATAAATCCCTTACCTAGTTTTAATCTCGTAAAAAAAGTAATGGAAATATATAATAGAGAAATTAAAATGATTTTTTGTTTTGTCAAATGCAGAAATAAATGATATTTTTTCAAATGTGCATTAAATTATGTAATTTAATTTGGTCGAGTTCGCATGCGGGGCAAAGTTGTCCTTGTTCATAAACCCAATAAATTTCCTTTGCAACTAAATGACCAAAATCAACTATTATCGACTATTGTTTTGTAAATGCCACAATTTCAATTTTACAAAAATGCAGAATTTTTCTGAGCAAACCTTCAAAAATCAATATTTCCCATGGAATTTCCTCAAGTGATTCTTTAATTGTAATGTTTTTAGTATTTTGTCGCAGAATTCACACGTTATTCTTTCTTTGGAATGAACTTTCATAATGTGACTTTTTAAATAGCTGTTATGAAAAAAATGCTTGTTGCAAGGTTCACACCTAAATTTCTTGACAGCTAAATTGTGTGTATTTTGTAAGTGTTTGCTGAGAGAATATTTAAAAGCAAATTTTTTGCTGCAATGGGCGCATTGAAGCTTTTGATGATTACCAGAATGCTTAATTTTAATGTGCATGTCTAGAGATTTTCGGTTTTTGAAATAATAATTTGTACAAATTTTGCATTCAAATCCACGATTTCGGAAACGAGCGCCTTTTATCATTTTGACGCCTGCATGCTCTTCGTTCATGTGGTAGCCAAGCAAATGCTTGAATTTGAAAACCTTGGAACAAATCTCACATTTCTGAATAACAGGTTTGCAATTCTGCTGGTGCTTTTGACGATCACCACTACATTTAAAATTAGCATTGCATTTTCCGCATCTAGATCGTTGTAAATGATTGTCAAACTGACTAAACGGTATTTGCAATTCACAAGTGGGGCATTTCCTAAATTTGTGTATTCTTAAAATATGGTCACTTAGGCTTACTTTACTGCTAAAAGTCTCAGTACATTTTGAGCAATTGTACTTTTTATTTGAGCTAGAGTGAAATTTTGACTCGTGGTGTTCTACGTCTTGTGCCTGAGCTGCTTTGTAATTGCAAACAGAGCATTTAAATTTGTTTGAAGAAGTTGACACTCGAGGAGATGATCATGGAAATGAAGAGATCGGGCTTTTCCTCGTTGCAGAAAAATTGTTTTTATTCAAAAACAGCAAACAGCTTTTTCTCGAAAACGCATAATGTGCCCGACGTCATTCGGCGCCCCCGTGGTCGGCCGCGCCGCGCGCTAATCACCCAATAAAGATCACCTCCCCCAATCAATCTGTCTTTAGCTAGCTCATTCTTGTATTAGTCAGCGAGCAGCGCGTTTGCTCATGAAATAGGTTGGTACCTGAATTTGTTAGTTTTTAAGAATTTAATTTTTTATTTAAAATGTGGTGTTTTTTCAATTTGCTGATTTTTTGTATTTTTTCTTGCTCATGAAATAGGGTCGCAGACCGTGACCGAAACTGGTAGAGCCATTTGTTTTTGAATAAAAACAATTTTTCTGCAACGAGGAAAAGCCCGATCTCTTCATTTCCAAGAGCATTTAAACTTTTTCTTTTCTTCGATGCTTTTGTGCTTTGTCTCATAATGTTTCTCTAGCTCAGCATTAGTTTTAAAATAAGTCAAGCATCGTTTACCAAAGTTACACTTGATGGCAGTGTCAGAGTGATTAATTTTAACATGCTGTGAAAGATTAAATTTTCTTATATCACGCCTATTGCAATAGATGCATTCTACATATGGATATGGGTCGATAGCCTTTGGTTTCAAGTGGGTTTCCTTAATATGGGCGTCTCTTTCTTCCAAAGTTTTAAAGTAAGTTGCGCATTTTCGATAAGTGCACCTTATTGCTATATCTGAATGTTCCTTATTGATGTGCATTGACATTTTTGATTTCACATACATCTTATTGCAGTATTCACATTTTTTCTTACATGATTTATTGTTGGTGGAATTGAATATTTGTTGACTTTGAGCTGATATTTGTCCTGTTTTTACCATTGGAAACTCCACATCTGAAAATTTATTTGAAACAGTCGTTGAAAATTGTTATTTTTTCATTAATATTAATTTTATATCTTCTTTAAAAAAAATTAATTTTTTTTATTATTAAACGGAATTTAAAGAAAGAAACACTGACCTTCAGAAATATCTATCATTACAGGCAATTTTTTCCCGGCAACTTCGTTTGGCCACCAGCAAAGATTGGTAACTTCAGCTCCAAGATTAGCTTTCCGCATCTCATTATTATGAAGGAACCTTAAAAATTCAATTGAAAGATTGAAAATAACAATTAATAAAAACATTTATATTCATAAAATATTTAAATAAAATGGCAATTATGTATCTAGAATAATATACCTTGCGTCTGAAACGCAAGCATTGCAGAAGACATCATTTTCTGTGACATCTTCGGCCAAAGTCGTGCCCAAGTAATTTAAACACCACTCATCCAGCTTCTGCAAGTCCAATTCGGCCGCCTCATAGTCGCCGTCGGCCGCTGGCCGCTCGCAAAGTCGACACAACCGAGGCCGCATCTTCGGTTCTCCTGGCTGGATTTGTTTTTTATGTGATGTTGTATTTTATCAGCTGTGCCGAGCGAGAAAGACAACTTTTAGCCCCTCCCACCTCTCAATATTTTGCGCTCAAAGCGCGCGAAGTGGCGCGAACGAAGAACATCACTGTTGACTGGCAAAATTCTTTAAAATTCTAACACCATAATGAAACAACCTATCCTTTCATTTAAAAAATTATTTTATTTTTAAAAATTAAATACAATTTGTAATTGATGATTAAATTTTTATCTATTTCCATGTTATTTAATTAAATATAAAAAACGTTTCTGCACTTTAATTTAAATCACACTTGATAATTAATTGTGATAATTTATCGCACAAAATTGAGAACCGTTTCATAGGACGAGAGACGTTTTGCTTATTTGACGTGCATGCGGGAAAAAGGCTCGATTGTCACGGAGAGGAGCAAACTGATGGCGTGCAGCTCTCCGAGCAATATAATAATGCACACAAGGGCGTGTGTGTGCAGTACACGGAGCGGAGCACAATTAATGCATAACTGCCGTCGAGATGCAGCAAAATACAGCCAGGCTAGAGACATATGTGTGCATCAGCTAGCTTAATAATGCATCTCTTGTCGAGTGCAATTGCAATTAGCACGCTCTGTTAATTTTGCGCCCCCATCTCTCTCTATCTCGCGGTACGTTGCCACAATATAATATATAATTTTTGCTTGGCCGCAAACGAGAAGCGACAAAACAAAATTAATTAATTAACCCGCTGACCGCTCTGAAGGTCTAACTTTAACGAAAAATATAATAAAAATTCCACTGACTCCATTATATGGACAAAACAAAGTTGTCTGTGTCTATTTTAGAAAATGGAAAATGATTTTGCCAATCTTAGAATTTAGAATGTAGCAATAAACAGCTTTCTATCAGAGAGAATTAACGGATTATATTGAATTATATACAATACACATTTAACTAAGGTATTTAAATAATTTTACTTTCAGAAAATTCTATGACAAAAAGGTCTCATTCAAGACTGATTCAAGATAATTATTTTACAATTTATGAATTCCACTCCCACGTTAATCGAACGCAATTATAATTTTTAATGTGCTAAAAAATATAATTATTTTTTTATAACAATTTACAATTTATGTTGTAGATTTTTATTAATATACTAATAAAAAAAGCAATAATAATAAATAAAAATACGAAAAATACAAACAATGAGGTTTAAAAATGTTTTTTGCAAATATACGGACTCAAATAATTTTTGAAATTAGCAAAATAATTAATTTTTATTTTATAAATTAGAGTCTAAATTTAAAAGAAAATAATTAATAAGGATATTACTTTGAACAAGCTTTGCTAATAAAACAATTATTATATTATATCACCGAGCGACAATCTCAAGAGCGGAGAGCACTTTGACAGGTCAAAAGTCAAAATGTGTTTGAAGTATATTATGCATATATATTTTTAGATAGACACGGTTGTCTGTGTGATCCTCGGGTCTAAATAATGCCGAGCTGCATCACAACTTGAGCGGATCGTCGAATGAAATTGCTGATTCCATCTGTGAAACATCAATCATCGCCGGCGGGCGCACTTTGTGTGATGGAGATGTTCGCCGGCGTCGCTGGCGCGGTTCACCTGACTGACTGGCTGCTCTGATATGCATTTGCCTCGTCGCGTTGTGTCACCCTCTCGACTCGCAGAGAGTTTGTGTCGAGCAGGCCCCGCGGCCATCAATTATCATCAGCTTCAAAGATGCATAGCGCAAAATTCTGCCAACCTCTGCCTCTGTGTTATACAGAGAGTGTGCTGCAGTTTTCAAATTTGTGTGGATGGATCGTCCGAGCTGACCGACCTCGCCATTTTCCGCCTCAATTTGCAGATGAAGTGCAAAATACCTACCCTCAAAGGCCCCACCAGCAAAACGATGAGTTTGTGATTGAACGCCCCCGCAAATGGATTCGCAGTGTGATGAAGCACTTTTTAATACTCGCCTAAGGGAAGAAAATTTTGCTTTACACAATTCGCGGAAATCTGGATGATGTTCCAAAATTTCTGAAACATTTTACAGAAAAAATATTAAAATATATAATTTAATTGTAAGGGGTTTTGTTTGAATAAGGTGTGAAAACCATGTGAAGCCCCCCTAATAAGTATTGCATAAAGGTGGTTATTTTTAACTGCCTTATTTCTTATTTCAAATCAAAAGATATCTTCCATAATTTTTCTTGTATGGTTTAAATTCTTTTGGAGCAAATTTTTTTTTTAAATTTAAAAAGTTCTCTCTAGAGTTTTTACTCCTATTTTATTCACATAAATATACTTTTATGCCATGAGAGAAAAAAAATATAAGATAATAACTAAAGACAAGATATTAAGAATTTTTGACAGCTTTTGCTTTTTTACAATCTTTGGTTATTTCTATGAGTTCACTTTCTTCTTTCCAGCTTAGAGCTGCAAATTTTAACCGTTGAGAAGCTCAATTCATCACAAGAAAAGTAGCTGGAAGAAGTGTTAATTGTGCACGCTTGAGCTGAGAAAGTAAAATTAAGCTGAACGAGGGAAATTTCCGCCCTCATCGTCTCTCTCGACGAATGATTAGCACTCTGTGCCGCTTTCATCGTCACCGCCACACGTGGAGAGGCGCAAATTTAATTAAAAATTTCTTTTCGCCGGCGTGCTGCAAGATTACTCGTTAATTAGGAGCGGAATGCAACGCAATTAACATTCCGCCGGTGGTGCTCGTTGCTCTTACTTATTAGCGCGTGCATAATTTTGCACCTGCTCTCGCGGCGTGCGTTCGAGCAATTTCCACTTTATGGAGTGTGAAATGACATTTAATCAGGGTCGTTCGCGCACGTGTTCCAAGTGAAATTTTCAGGTGGCTATTATGTTAAGTGTAGTTTTTTTGCCTCCAAATTAGATTAACCGTGTGCGTGCGGGAAAGGGTGCTTCACGTTTGCCGCGGAATTTCAAGAGGGCGCCGGCCAACGTGGGCGCTTTTCAGTAAAAACTGTCAACATGACATTGGCTTTAACAAATTCATCCCACTCTAACTGGAATTTTGTAATTTAATCTTAATAGTTGCTGCAGACGTTTTATAAAAGCAATAAAAATATCCTTGTTTAAATTTTTTAACAAAGAGAATTTTTTTTTTATATATTTAAATTTTTTTAATTTTTTTACTTATTTAATTGTAAACATATTTTTTCATCATTTGAATCATAAATTTTTTCATAGATACACATAGATACTGTTACTCGTATTTAAAATAATTATTTTTATCACACACCTTACTACTTGTTATTAATATCTTACAAATTGAAACTCAATTGCAGTTTAATTGCTCATATTTGTTCTTGAATTATGACGCTCAATTATAATAAATAAAGTTAATATATATTTGCCGCTTCATTTTACTCTTTTTTTTTAACAAAAATATTATTTCATTTCAGAGCAGTCAAAGTTTATTCAACTTGCAGAAAGTTTTACATCTATAATTATTCATGGTACACGCGCGCTATAACTTCCTGCAAAGGGTTTGCATTCATACGACAGTGGTTGCGACGCAAAACTCCGTACCAGGAAAATGCATTCGGCCTTGAGAGAGATTGTGCAAGGCAGCTTTTGCCGATTATGCACCCACACGCTGAGCAAACAGCTCGCTGTGCCGGGGCGCGACAACCATATAGTGTACCTTGATCCAGGTAATATGCACGGCGCCAACTCGCAGCAGCCAGGAGAGTTCTGGTGGTGCCAAAGTTTGGCGCTAATTAATGCGAGGCACAGTTGTATGCATGCGGGCTGCTGCTGCTGCTGCGAGTGTGTGTGATTTATGTCATCGTAATGTGTTCGATATTTTATGAACCGCAACGCTCGCTCTGCATTTGCACTAGGGCAGTGTGACAATTTTGAAAAATATTTTCAGTCAGTTGGAAATGCAAAACTTCAAAAGACTGATTAACTTATTTTTATAATGGTTTTAAACTGAATAGGAACCTATTCGGTATTATTTTAATCTTGAAATTATATTCATTTTCAGCGAATGTTGTCATTAATTTCTTTTTTTGTTCATTTGATTTGCTTTCAACTGTTTAGGGGGCGACGATTGACAAAGTACAATTCTGTAATAATTGATTTCATTTAAATTAGACACACAACTAATATACTTTGAATATTCATATAAAAACAACAATATAATAAGTATAATTTGATTTAAATATCTATGTTGTACCTAAGAAAATCAAAATTTGTTTTTATAAATTAAAAATAGTTTAATATTCATTTAAATTAATTAAATTTTAAAAATTCAAAATTAAAAATATGTTATGATAAAAATATTTTTAAAATATTTAAAAATAAATAATTAGTAAGTTATAAATTATAAAATTATTGTATCTTTATGATTTTTTTTTTAAATCTAGAAAACTATGTAAAAATCGGTAAAAATTAAAATTAAAGCTTTTAGGTATGCGTACACTTATACAAAATATATATATGACATTTATTACACGCAAATCCTTACAAAATTCCAAAATTAATTTGACACAAATTTCCAAGTGACATTTTGCTGAAATCCACCCCTGATTGGAATCACATGAATTAAATTGTGCGGTTTTCCTCATCAGTCTTCCGCAATCATTTCACATTTTCCACAAATCCCGGATTCTTGCACCTCTTGTTCCTCTAAATTTATTAAATACAAAATCAACCCTCCAAAATCCAAGCTCAATTTTCGCGTGAGCTACTTTTTGAATTATTTCGCACTGCCCGGCAACCGCAGCGCTCGGCCACTCCTCGTCGGAATACCGGCAGCAGGGGGTGGAAGGGTTAATTATGATATATTATTGGGATGCATGGGGGCGAGTGGAGGAAGTCACCGTCCGGCGACCGCACGCACACCAAGCAGATTCTGATAAGCAGCCTGCTGTCAAATTGAGGTGTTAACCCGCGCGCGCCTGAATTCAGCAGAATTATACTTGAAATCAATTAGCGGTGCCGTGTGCGAGGCATTTGCT